AAGAATACGTATTTCTTGAACCAGATATGGTGGCACAAACCTTCAATCCTAGCACTTAGGAGGCAACAGAACTAGTTCTTCACAATGAATTTCAGGCCAGCAGGACTACGCAGTCAGAAGAAAGGAAGGATGGGAGGAAGGGAGACAGGCAAAGAGCAGAACACTGATGCACACTTCCTGACAGCATGATCAGTGAGGCGCTTCTGGAATTGAACCTACTAAATAGGCAAAAGATAAACTGACACCTGAAAAGTCCCAACAAAGCTAATGGGGTACACTTTTTGAAAATGAGTATGATTATCTCTCTGATAAGACAATGCAAACTCAATATGAGCTGTTAGTTTAAGCTGCCTAAAACTGCACAAAGGAAAGATTACTGTGGTCCAACTGTTAAAAGATTTTAGCTTCTTTTTTAGTTTTTAAAAGATTTATTTATGAATTTTATGTATACGGGTACTTTATCTGCACACCAGAAGACGGCACCAGACTGCCGTGAGCTGCCATGTGGGTGCTGGGAATTGAATCCAGAACCTTCAGAAGAACACTCAGTGCTTTAACCACTGAGCCATCTCTTTAGCCCAAGATTTTAGCTTCTTATAAATGATGAAAAATCCAAACAAGATGTTCTGCAGCTTCCTAGTGGGATAACACAATACCTGTTCTCCTATCTCAATTAACAGCAAACACTGCCCCTTTGTCAAGAGTACATATAAAACTTATATATGCAGTAAATTTGTATCAAAGGAGAATGGTACATAAAGATTATTCAGGTGTTCAGGGTTCGTTTGGAGAAAGAAAACATTAAAAAATAAAAAGAACCACTGTAAATCAACAAATCAAAGCAACTTTAAAAAGAATTACATGTAATTGAAAACAACAGATCAGTGGGTAAAAGTGCACATCAGTGGGTAAAAGTGACCTCCACATACAAGCCACGGCATACTCACAGAATAAGTACATGAACTTATAATGTATGTGACTGCATACGTAAGACCTGTATGAGTCCAAAATCTCATCTTGGGTGCCAGTGGGAGTTGAAAAAGTCTCATCCCTACCTAGTGAGGAACCATCAGTTTTTTAAGATGTGGCTCCTGAAGTTACCTATGTTATAGTACAGCAATTCTCAACATGTGTGTGGGTTGTGACCCTTGGAGAGTGGAGCAACCTTTTCACAGGGGTTGCCTAAAACCATTGGAAAACAGTTATTTACATTATGATTCATAACAGTAGCACAATTACAGCTATGAAGTAGCAGCAAAATAATTGAATAGTTGGGGGTCAGCACAACACAAGGAAGTGTATTAAAGGGTCAAAGCATTGGGAAGGTTGAGAAGCACTGCTCTAGTAGGTAGTCCTACATTCTGCACATCCTGCGTCACTACGTGGATGCACTAGATTTAAAAGAACAAAGAGATGCAAGAGAACACATAAAGTTGGGAGGAGAAAAAGTGGGGGAGGAGGGAAATAGTGGGAAAGAGTGGGAATGGATATGAACAAAACACATTATTCTCCTGTGTGACATCCTAAAAAGAACACCACAAAGGAAAACAATTGTAACCATGTGACATGCATCAGCAGAACATGGAAAGCTGTACTACCGTTTACTATCTTATCATCTGCATTACACTCATGTTGTAACTTGCTAGTTCAGAATTATGAGTTTCAAAACTCCTAAATTTGTAATACTGTTTTGTGCATTTTTACCTGTGCTATTATTTAAAGTCATTAATTCTTTTGAGTCAGGGTTGGGGTTCAGAATCAAACTCAGGACTGACTGCACACATATCAGCTGCGGGCTCTACCACTGAACTACATTCCCAGTCAATGGCTTATTCTTAAATAAGTTCATAAATTGCCTTTGCTTTTAATGTTTTACATTTTCATAGAGATAAGTATTTCATTTCTTCTTCTTTTCTACCTTGAGACGGAATCTTATTCTGCAGCCAAGGCTTGCCTCAAACTCAGTACATCCCCCTGACTTGGATTTGTAAATATGGGGATTACAGTCATGTGCCAAACCTGGATCTATTATGCCTTCTAATTTTAAGAAAATCCTCCCTTCTTACGTAATGGTGTTTTTAGAAAGTATTTTAAAATACTTAGCCAGGCGTTGATGGCGCACGTCTTTAATCCCAGCATTTGTGAGGCAGAGGGATCTCTGTGAGGCCAGCCTGGTCTCCAGAGCGAGTGCCAGGATAGAGGATAGACTCCAAAGCTACACAGAGAAACCCTGTCTTGAAAAGCAAAAAAAAAAAAACAAAAAAAAAAAAAACAAAAAACAAAAAAATACTTAGTCCACAGGAAATATTTTATCAAATAAACTGTAAATTTCTTTTCTAAAATATTTACCAATTTTCTAAGATGACCAGTTACTAATAATCTTTCACCTCCTGATATATGATGCATTTCTTAAATCTTACATATCAGGCTTAAATAATTATAATCCTATTTGAATGATCTATTCTTACATTATAATATCCCTGTACTACTACCCTTCAGAGTTCTGATTTCATCCTCCCTCTTCTCTATAACTAAGTTTGGGTGTTTTCTGGGACAGGCACTGAGCATTCAGAGTAAGCTAGCTTGCAGTTCCCTGTCTTCTGTCTCTGCCTTCTCAATGTGCAAACTGCAGCCATGTACCATACCTGCCCCACCTATAATTTTTTTATACAATATATACCCCATTACTCTACTAGATTTTTACTGAATTACATAAGCCTATAATTCCTTGCCTGTCTTTTACGGGGACATTGTTGGGACACAGGGTCTCATGTAGTTCAAGTTGCTTCACATGTGGCGTAAGATGATCATGAACACCTGATAACAAGTATGAACCTCCACATTTGACTATACCTGCAATTTGTAAATAATATACCCTAAAAATGAAATCTATTTTCTCATGAAGGATTCTTTCACAATGTCCCTCTCGGTCTATGTTAATTATTTCCCTTCCTATTACACTGGGTGCCCATATTTCTATGGCCCTCAGGGATGGCCTGCTTTCACTGGGCACAGAGCCACTATATCTACACTGGACATCTTAGCCGAGCTCTTGGAAACTTTTAAGTTTTAAATTTACAGTTTCGGTGAAAACACAGAAGACTTCACATTGAATAAAAAAATAAAGAGAAGGCCGGGCGTTGGTGGTGCACACCTTTAATCCCAGCACTGGGGAGACAGGGGCAGGCAAATCTCTGTGAGTTCAAAACCAGCCTGGTCTACAAGAGCTAGTTCCAGGACAGCCTTCAAAGCCACAGAGAAACCCTGTCTTGAAAAACCAAATAAATAGATAGATAGATAGATAGATAGATAGATAGATAGATAGACAGACAGACAGACAGACAGACAGACAGACAAATAGAAAAGGTCATATTCTCATTAAGTTTTGCCAAACTTGATTTCTTTAGGCTAATAAATTTTTTTTAAAAAGGCCAAACCAGGAAAATAAATACTTTTATGGATATAAATATCACAAGGAGTGATCTTTATTTACCTGCTTCAGAAGTATAAAAGGGGATATAGCTTAGTGATAGAATTGTCTAGGAGGAATGAGATTAGGGGGTCCATTTCCAACCAAAGGAAAAGGAAGTCCACTGGGAATGTAAGCATTTGCTTTTTAATTTAAACTATATCCTTAGGAAAGCACTAAGATTAGAAATGATGCCAGCAAGCCAAGCAGTGGTGGTGGTTCACACCTTTAATCCCAGTACTCAGGAGGCAGAGGCAAGGGGATCTCTATAAGTTTGAGGCCAGCCTGGTCTACAGAACAAGCTCCAGGGCAGCCAAGACTGTTAAACAGAGACACTGAAACTGTGTCAGGTGGTGATGGCACATGCCTTTAATCCCAGTACTCCAAAGGTAAAGGCAAGCAAATCTCTGTGCGTTTGAGGCTAACCTGGTCTACAGAGTGAGTTCCAGGACAGACAGGGCTACACAAAGAAGTCCTATTTTGAAAACACAAAAGAGGAAAAAGAAAAAATAACAAAACAACAATAACAACAAAACACCTACACATTATCCCCTGAACAAGAAAAACAGAAATTTAAAGTTACCAAGAATATTTTCTTCATAAAGTAAAATGGGAATAACTTCAAATATTTAAAAAACAACTGTGGGAGGGGGTTGAAAGAGAATAGCCCCATAGGCTCACAGATTTGGTTACTAGGGAATGGTGGTATTTGAAAGTATTAGGAGGTGTGGCCTTTTTGGAAGAAGTGTGTCATTGGAGGTGGGCTTTAGCTTTGAGGCTTCAAAAGCCTGTGCCAAGCCCAGAGTCTTTCTCTCTCTGCCTATGATCAGGATGTAGCCCTCAGCCACTGTTGCAGCTCCTGTCTCTATTACACCATAATGATAATGGACTAAACCTCTGAAACTGTAACTCTGAAAATGCTTTCTTTTACAGAGTTGCCACGGTCATGGTGTCTCTTCACAGCAACAGAGAATACTAAGACAGGCTGTTAGAAGCCCTCTCTAATGGAACTCATATAACTTACTGTAATTGCCTCCAATTAAGAAAAAAAGCAGCAAAATTGAGTGTATAAGGCATCAGAACTTCTACTTCACATAAAGGGTTCCCCATGGCTAGCTCTAAAGATAAATTTCTTTCTACACTTTGGTCTGTCACAGCTGCACACACCTTAATCCCAGCACTTGGGAGGTAATGGCAAGGAGGATAGCTGCAAGTTCATGGTCAGCCTGGTCTATATAGCTAGTTTCAGGACAGGCAGACTTATATAATCAAAATCATCTCAACCCTCAAAAGTGCAACAAAACAAAAGACACTACATTTTTGTACCAAAATGGTTAAAGTAATTAATGTTAATTTTACTTCTTGGATATTTTGTTTTAAAAATTTAGTCTAATGTCTACAGTTTCCCAGATTCTAAGACGTAGTTTTACAAAAAAAAGTTACCTCAATTAATCCTCCATTTTCTCCAAGTCTTACATCATCTTTTAAATTAAGTACCAAATATTTGTCCTTACAGATAAAAACTACTCACCATGATACCACCATTTTGTTTTCTTTGGATTCTTGTTACATGTTCTCACATAAAAGGAATTGTCTGGCGGTCGTCTCTGAAACAAATAGAGTAACTAGG